TCTATAAAAATGTAAACATATTAGTGTAAGCCTTTATTTTTATTTTATGAATCACCAATATTTATCTATGTAAGTTAAACCAGACATGATTAGCTTTATGCTATTTTTTGGTTTCCTAATTTGCCTATTATCATGATCTGTATTCTATGTGAAAAAAGACAAATAAAGAAGGAAAGAAAGAAATTTAATTAAGGTAAGGTAAGAAATGTGTAATTTCTTTAACATTGTTATTTAATTTATTTTTGAAGTGAGCCCTCTTTGGGGTGCTTTAAATGGTAGTATGGTACCTTATGTTCTGAGGTAAATATAGTTAAATTGTTAGTTTCAAAATTGCATAGGTTTTATTAAAGTCATATTGTCAATATGATTTTGTGCTAGAGATAACGCTGTACTCTAGCTTAGTATTGATTATTTATATTTGTGCTTGTTATGGCACGATTCTCTATGAGCATGTCTAGCCTAGTTTTTGATACAGTCATGCATGTGTAAGGTGAGCAAAGCTTTGACCTAGGGCAGTAAACTTTTGGATGCGCTAGCTTAGCCTTGTTTTGATAATGTTTATAAGGGTAATGGGTATTTTGAATATCCTCTTGGAAATTGTTGCATTACCCAGCTATGTGATTATATTTTAGAGATAATTTCTGTACTATCTTTGATTATTGAATTCTTTGCAGCTGGATAGCCAGTGATCTTGGATACGTTTTGAGAGGACAGCACAGTTTATGTAATAAACATGTGTACATGCACATGTCCTTGATATTTTTAGCACTGTATTTTATACATCTTGTAGTATTTTTTTGGGTTATGTCTTATTAGCATCTATTGCTTGTTTTTTTTTGCAGTTACCAATAAATGTTCAAACGAATGAAAAGTGAACACGTTTATACGACTGGATTTGAATATTGTCTTGTATTGTCGGGCCAAACAAAATGAAACATTAACCTGTAAAGCTTCTAAGGAAATTTGCAGAACACTTTAATTATAGTTTTATTACGATGAAAATATTGTTGGATCGTGCTTTTTAACAAGAGTCTGAATAATGAATGTACTAAACGTGCAACGGACAGGTGTTCCTTTCTCAGTGTAGTACAATAGTCCCCTATGACGATGAAAATGTGTTTTTTTTTTAATAGTGCTTTTTAATATTTAAGCATAATAATATTTGGAAGGTTCTCAGTATTTGCAATTCAATGAGCATGTTGCTTTCGTCCGAATCGACCAATATTCAAAGAAGTCCAATGAGTTTATTGTGTTCATTTTCTCATAACTAGGCCTATATAAATTTCATATTGTTACATCGTGTTAGTAGGCAGCATTTTATCTTTACTTAAAAAGTGTACAGTCAACTATTCATAAAAAGTTCATCTCTCTAATTGGTTACTATATTAAATATTTTTAATTAAAAAATTAATGAATTGAAATTGGGTGACCATGTTTGATGACAAAATATAGGATCACCATAATAGGGGGGGGGGGGTTTGTAAAAATATTTCTATTTTTAATGTTATTGTATATATTAGTTTAATTAAATTAATTTAATAATTTTCTGTGTAATAAAAAAAATATATATTTTATAATGTTTAATGTATATCTCTTTTTTATACCTTTTTATTTAGTATTTTGTATCTTTTAACGTGCAACTTCCCACGTCTCTTTTTTTTTCGATGTGATGTAAATTTGTTCAAGGGGAATGTAGAGGTCCTAGAAACCTGTTCATCTCTTCCCTTTCGTTGCGTTTTCTGTTACCTTTGCTCGTAGTGTGTGCAGTGATGAAGCTTAATAAATGAATTAAAAAATGAAGCACTTAGTAAAATACATTTTTCGTATACAATCTGTGGATGTTTGCGGTCCCCTGTCCAGGTTACCCAGTCATAGGCCTGAAGGCCTTGATTGACGCCTCAAATCAAAAGGCCCACAATTATATCTTCCACTGGGGCCTATCATCACCAAGCTACGCCGCTGATGCGTTTAGTACCATACTTGCGTGACGAGCGCAGTATTCAGTGAGGTGTCCGTTATTTACGAACGGTAATTGATAAAACAATATTATAATAATTGAACACAAGAGTAATTATGCACAATACCATGATTACACAAAATTATAGCATGTAATTTTATAGCTCCATGACTACATACACTCGACCTACTGAAGATTGAACCAAGATAGGAGGCATTTTTCCACGAAGAAA